CAATGTGAGAGATCTGAAGGCCCCAGTCTGAGGCACTTAGACGCATCCTGATTTAAGTGTTTCTCCAGTAGAGACTAATTTCTCTATCACTGTTTCCCAGCTGATATTGTTCTATAGTCACAAAACTAAAACCAACATTTCATTTCACTCAGTCAACTCATTCCTCTAAACCAATCCTGAATCCAGAAGGTGATTTGGTTCACTTCCAAAATAAAATTATTTGTTCCTTGTCCCACTCCAGATACAGTGCCTTGCGAAATGTTGAAAGAACCTTTCAACATTTCGCCACATTTCAGGCTTGAAACATAAAGATATAAAATTTTAATTTTTTTGTCATGAATCAACAACAAGTGGGACACAATCGTGAAGTGGAACGAAATTTATTGGATAATTTAAACTTTTTTAACAAATAAAAAACTGAAAAGTGGGGCGTGCAATATTATTCGGCCCCTTTACTTACAGTGCAGCAAACTCACTCCAGAAGTTCAGTGAGGATCTTTGAATGATCCAATGTTGTCCTAAATGACTGATGATGATAAATAGAATGCACCTGTGTGTAATCAAGTCTCCGTATAAATGCACCTGCTCTTTGATAGTCTCAGGGTTCTGTTTAAAGCGCAGAGAGAACCGTGAAGACAAAGGAACACACCAGGCGGAGTTTAAAGCCGGATTTGGACACAAAAAGATTTCCCAAGCTTTAAACATCTCAAGGAGCACTGTGCAAGCAATTATATTGAAATGGAAGGAGTATCAGACCACTGCAAATCTACCAAGACCCAGTCGTCCCTCCAAACTTTCATCTCAAACAAGGAGAAGACTGATCAGAGATGCAGCCAAGAGGCCCATGATCACTCTGGATGAACTGCAGATAACTACAGCTGAGGTGGGCGAGTCTGTCCATAGGACAACCATCAGTCGTGCACTGCACAAATCTGGCCTTTATGGAAGAGTGGCAAGAAGAAAGCCATTTCTCAAAGATATCCATAAAAAGTCTCGTTTAATGTTTGCCACAAGCCACCTGGGAGACACACCAAACATGTGGAAGAAGGTGCTCTGGTCAGATGAAACCAAAATCGAACTTTTTGGCCACAATGCAAAACGATATGTTTGGCGTAAAAGCAACACAGCTCATCACCCTGAACACACCATCCCCACTGTCAAACGTGGTGGTGGCAGCATCATGGTTTGGGCCTGCTTTTCTTCAGCAGGGACAGGGAAGATGGCTAAAATTGATGGGAAGATGGATGGAGCCAAATACAGGACCATTCTGGAAGAAAACCTGTTGGAGTCTGCAAAAGACCTGAGACTGGGACGGAGATTTATCTTCCAACAGAACAATGATCCAAAACATAAAGCCAAATCTACAATGGAATGGTTCACAAATAGACGTATCCAGGTGTTAGAATGGCCAAGTCAAAGTCCAGACCTGAATCCAATCGAGAATCTGTGGCAAGAGCTGAAGACTGCTGTTCACAAACGCTCTCCATCCACTGCTCTTGAGAAATCAAGTCTCAAGAGCAGTAAGCACACATAAATATACAATTTTGAAATATGTGATTATCAATAGCAGCAGTGTCTTGAGAAACATTTGTTCTTGTTGTTCTTGTAGGTTTAGACAACATACAGTGGGCAAAAAAGTATTTAGTCAGTCCCCCATTGTTGGCTTGGCCACTCCAGGACTTTATTTGCTTGATGAAGGCATACCGCCAAAACGATGCACTTTTAATACATTATTTTTAATTTGCAAGTAAGACAGTGAGCAGGAATCTTTCTCTCTACCACTCCAGGACCTTGAAATGCTTCTTAGGAAACCACTCCTTTGTTGTGTTCGGGATTATTGTCATACTGAAAGACCCAGCCATATTTCATCTTCACCTTCTTGAATCTTTTCATTCAAAATCTCACGATACATGGCCCCATTCTTTCTTTCCTATATGCCGCTTTTCCACAGTATCAGTACGGTACAGTACAGTACGGTACAGTACAGTACGCTTCAGCGCGGTTATTTTGCGTTTCCACTAGTGAATGGTATGGGGGATTTGCGTGCTTTTCCGTACTGCCTTAGCCGTGGTTCCATCCCCATAGTACCGATACCATGACGTGACGTCGGCCCACTGCCTTACACTGATTCGTCAATGCGTGTCGTCACTGGAAGCGACATCTGACCCTTTGGGAAAAACAACTCAACCGCCATATTTTAAACCGGCTGCTCTGCTCGGCTCTGCTTCGGCTACATTACGTCCTCCTCACTCCAGAGAAATGGAATCGCACAGAAAGCTCCAGAAGTCCTGGTCCTGGTCGGTGGACGAGGTCCACACGCTACTCTCTTTACGCCGAAAGAAAGAATTCAAAGGCAGCTCGAGGCTCAACACAGTTTTCAGGGAGATCGCTCTGGATTTGTGACTACTCTGTGGTAATCCTGGAAATAACTGGTTAGCTACGAATCCCGTTGGCCCAAAGCTCTCACTGAAATGTATGTGTACATGTATGTATGTGTACATGTTTCTCTGTTGTACACAGTGAGCTAGCTAAATTTAGCTTCATTTAGCTATCGATAGCAGCTAACGTCCTTCCTGTGCAACTGTGCTTTATCTCATATTATCTGCAGTATCCACATGTTGTCATTCTCTTTTGTGCTTGTATTTAAGTTGTCGTGTGTATATTTGTAAGAGAATCCCTTCTCATAAGTGTGGAGATTACCAACGAGTAATGAGTGACCGGAGTATTCTCCTCATCTGGTCTCAGACATACGTACTTTTGACTTACTTTTCTTACTTTTATACATAATTTGAAAATAATGGTTTCGCACTTTACGTTTGCTTTTAATAAATCTGTGATTGTTTCCCAAGACTGTGTTTCATTCATTTATAAAGGATTGTGGCAAGTCTAAATCTGTATCCGGTGAGCATGTTTTGATTGTTATCCCTCTGCGCTCTGTTTGCATTAACCTTTGATAAATCCACGTATTAGTCTACAACAAGCTAACTTTGTAAGCACTCTGAATCAACTGTATTGTAGCTGAAGTTCGGGTATCGATTGTTTGTCTGGTCTCGGAGTCTGCTGTACTGGACCCGGGTCCGGACTACCCTAGCCTAGCCGCTAACTCGCTACCCCTATGGCTGCTTCTGTCTCTCCCTCAGTCCTTTACTGCTCGAGTTGCCATATGGCGAGTCTAAACCCTGGATCCTCCTCTGAGGGCAATGATAGATGTGTTAAGTGTAGTACAGTTGTAGCTTTGGAATCCATTGTTAGTGAGTGAGCTGAGTCTCGAGCTAGCGCTAGCATTAGCTATACCCAGGCCGTATCCTGATCCTCGGACATGCAGCCCTCCTCCTCTGCACACTGCTACACAGGCTGCTGTTGCTACAGGTCCCATTCAGATTGTACAGAGCAGTCAGCACCATTGACTTCACAGTGTCCGAGTCATTCTTTTAAGACATAAGCTTTTTCAACAACCACTTGTACTGTGCTGAATTTTCTATTAAACACTTGCTGTTCGTCTGATATTATAATAAATCCAAGCACCGCACCAATACTAGTTACGCGTCACGCGTAAATGACGTGGTCTGACTAGGGGGTACTATTTTTGATGGAAAAGCACGCAAACCGGGCCGTGCCGCGCCGCGCCATTTAGAGTTGATACGAAGCGTACCGTTACTGTGAAAAAGCGGCATTACATGGATCAGTTGTCCTGGTCCCTTTGCAGAAAAAACAGCCCCAAAGACTGAAGTTTCCACCCCCATGCTTCACAATAGGTACGGTGTCCTTTGGATAGAACTCAGCATTCTTTCTCCTCCAAACACAATTAGTTGAGTTTTTACCAAAATCTTGCATGGAGCCCCAGATTGAAGGAGATTATCAGGGGTCTTGTGTGTCTTCCATTTTCTCATAATTGCTCCCACAGTTGATTTGTTCACACCAAGCTGCTTACCTATAGCAAATTCAGTCTTACTAGCCTGGTGCAGGTCTTCAATTTTGTTTCTGGGTTCCTTTGACAGCTCTTTGGTCATGGCCGTAGTGGAGGTTGGAGTGTGACTGTTTGAGGCTGTGGACAGGTGTCTTTCAGACTGATAACGAGTTCCAACAGGTACCATTAATACATGTAACAAGTGGAGGACGGAGGAGCCTCTTAAAGAAGGAGTTACAGGTCTGTGAGAGTCAGACATCTTGTTTGTTTGTAGTTGACCAAATACTTATTTTCCACCATCCTTTGCACATAGATTCTTTAAAAATCAGACAATGGTATTTTCTGGATCTCTTTTCTCATTCTGTCTCTCATAGTTGAGGTTTACCTATGATGAAAATTCCAGGCCTCCCTCATCTTTTTAAGTGGGAGAACTTACAATTGGTGACTGACTAAATATTTTTTCCCCAATGTTCTTTGAGTAGGACATAAATAAAGCACGTCTGTTTGAGTCTACAGAAACCTTGGTTGAAGTTAATGTCTGGACTGCTCTTACATGTGGGTGAGGGCCTAAAGTCTGCCCCTGTCAACACTGAGAGGCTTACAGCCGCTGCATCAATACAGACATTAGGATGAAGAAAAGGATTAGCACACTCTAGACTGCGTCTCAATGGGCAGCGCCGTAAAAAGCCATCTAAGCTAAGAAGGCATTAGATCTAAAGTCGATGAATCACTTGCATGGCTTTTGTGTGGGACCACTTTAAGCAAGGCGGACATTGAGAGACCATTTTGCAGCCTCTGAACATCTTATAGTGGTATCCAATAAAGTGTGAAAAGGGTAATGTACATTTTGAACTGTAGAGGATTTTTTTTAAATGCTTTGTAATTATTTTTAAAAGGCAATGAATAATGTAAATGCCAGACTTGATTTACTCCCACACATATGTAAACAACTGAGGGGGAGGAAACAAAAGAAAATCCTTTAAAATACTATAACAAATCTTTGTTCTTGTGTGTTTTCTTCCACGTGTTGCTGTTTTTTGCACTTTCCTCAAACTCCACAACACCACACCCTTCTTTAAGCCTGTCGCCTCAATCACTTCCTGACAGAAGCGTAGAGGGAGCCGTGGAGAAGGAGAAGCCGATTCTTCACGGCACCTCGGAAGTAGGGCAAGGATAGTCCCTTCAGGCTGTGGGGGCGGGAAGCCATCACCAACACGTCCCATTGGTGAAGTGGGAGGTGATGTCATTTTTTAAAGCAGGGGGGACTATAGCAGAAAATACATCCTAAACTGAAATGACAAATTTAATATCACAAGTGGTTTGGGTATTGTTTCATTATTATAAACAAAATATAATCATAGTGTAATATGAGACACTAAAAATGGCCAATATGCCTGGTATAAGATATACTTTTTTCTCAACGCAGTTCATGATATGATGGATGATTAAATCCTTAATAGACAGCTGACCCTCACCCCTCATTCTAATCCAGCAAATATTACTGGTCATGCTTATTCCAAGGGAAGGGACTGTTGTTAATATAATTACTTTGAAAGCGACTTAACTTAGACAATACCACAGGGTCATATGACCCAAAATATGTAGTCATTTAAAATGAAATACAATTGAAGTTGCAGATATCACGTATACAGTAAATTACTTTTATTACAGTAGTCAAAAATGTCTCAGATCTTCTTCTCCCACAGACCCACTCACCACTCCTTAAGAGATGTATTTTTTAATCCCAAATATCTTAACAAGATCCAAAACCTTCACAAGGCTTTGAAATTGGATATTTTATTGTCCATGCCTATTTCCAGGTTTTCCATGACTGCATGAACCATGCGAGAAATGCATTATAGTATATATATATTTATTTTAACAGTCACAATAAATACTCCTTGAATCTTTTACTATCACTCATATATAAAATCTCACCAGCCGCACAGTCCTCCTCATCCGCCCCGTTCTCACAGTCCTTCTCTCCATCACACCTCCAGGAAAGGGACACACACTTGTTGGTGGCTCCCCCGCAGTCGAACTTCTCTGGGGGGCACGTCTGTTTGCCTGTTGGAACAAATCATAGTGAGATTACTTAGTGAGAGGTCTGCGCCCGATAGAAGAAAAACAAGTGTGGCATGGCCAGGCATTCAATTGCCCCCAAGACGCAGTTAAACTCATCCACAGCCACACAACTCTTATTGATTTTACTGTCTGGACCGGAGATGCTGAAATATTGTGAAAAATAACAACTACTACCCACTTCCCCCTCCTCAATGTCCTGCCAATCTGCTTGAGTTGGCACAATGTGGGTTTGATCCAGATTACATTTATTATGAGGCATGTTGTTAATTATACATCTCAGCTTCCAGCGCAGCCCAAAGCAGCCAAGAAGAAAAGAACAGCCAATAATATATCATTTACAAACACTTTTGACACGCAATGCTCTAAGAAACTGCAATGCTGCATTAATATAAGTTTTATATTCCATTTTCAAATGGCTTCAGTACAGGACTGTCATGGTTTAGGTTTACTTTGTGTTTTATTTTGTAATTTGTTAACCCCTGTGTCTTCTTCAGTGTTACTTCCTGTTTCCAGATTTCCTGCTCTTGTGTCACACCTGTGTGCCGTTAATGTATTTAAAAGTGACCTATTTACATTGTTTTGGTATTTGAAGGGAAGTGACGTATTTGTAGGGGTCTGGGTTTTGTTTCCATTCTATTTGTAAGCCATAACGTTGCAGTACGAACGTTTTAAACAGATAATTGTAATTTAGTGATGGAATATACAAGGCAGGGGTTTATTTTTGAGCCCTTGCATACTTGTTATGACAGTGAAACTGATTTTGAGGACGCCACTTCAGATGAGAAAAAATCTTCAAGAACTGAAAATGTTGCTTTCGTTCATTTGCGGATATTAGGACCATTTCCATGGGCTTGACTCTGCTCGAGTCTCCCCGATTTGCGGATGCGGTTAACACCTTCCTCAGTGTGAGGAGAGGACAGCAGCGTGAGCTTGATGGTGCCATCCAAAATGAGTAAGTGGTTGCAGAAGTACCGCTAAGGATGTAGGAATGTCCACGAACATCATCAGAGTGCAAAGAATATTAAAGGACAACTCACCCTCAAATCCACTTTTTTTTGCTGATAAACGGTATAAATGAGTGTCCAATAGTGTTGTCTACATATCCTGGTCATAATCTTGTCACTTTGGTGCAAATTAGTTGAAAGTTAGACTTTCTGCCTAAAACCGTCTGTGAGGCGCCATCTGCTGGCGACCTGTATTACTACATTTGAATTTTGAATCTGGCGCCAACACTGGCACAGAAGTTGGACCTGACGTCTGCAAGTTGGACCTGACGTCAGCAGCCCCCCGCCCAGAGCAATGTAAACGGCCCAGTCTCGTTCACGCCCCCTTTAGTCCTCCAGGCTACGCCCATTTAGAGGAAGATTTGAACAGGAAATGTGAGTAACGTAAGCTCCGAGGAGCGGGGGTGAGAACCACTTTAAAAAGCTTAAAAGTGACTACCGTGAAATTAAAGATCACAACAGAAAAAGTGGGCAGAACCGAAAAATCTGGAGGATGCTTGACCAAATGGATACAATTTACAAAAATTGGCTAACACGAGCTAACACGCTAACACCATCTACTGCCTTGTCCCAGCTCCAGATGTTGAGTTTGAAAGAAATGTAAGTGTCCATCTTCAATCAAATAAAAAAGTATCTGGTCTTATACTGAACGTGTTTCTGTGGTTCTAAAGTCTAAAACAGCTTAAGTGGTGTTGACGTTATGTGTCATATCTATATCTTTTACTATACATAGTTAGAGAGTGAATGATGGATTGATGGTTCAATAAAGATAGTCGATGTGGTATTTGCTGAATGCTGGGTTGAAATTCATAAAGCTGTTTTTGGTTAGAGATTGAAAGCTCTCATTTCGGGCGGCATCACCAAGTTCACGCTGGTGTCGTCTTCTCAAACTGAGGACTGTCGCCTTCTCTGTATTCAAATATTTGCTGAGGTCAAAGAGCGTAGGGACCGCTGTTTACACTCAATTTTGGTTTATAATTTTTGTCATCTGGCCTTGGTCCCCGACTGTCTTCAGGGTCGCTGCAGGATCTGGACGCATCCCTCCATGTCTTTGTCCTGGGCCACTGCAGGACACTTTACTCTATCCTGGGTGGTTGCTGGCTTCTGTCCCTGACCTGGCTCCGCTGGATATTGTTTTTCATCCAGTGGGACTTCTGGTTTTTAAATTTTTCGTTCTAGCTTCTGCTTGAGCTCTGCAGCCCTTCGTCCCGCCTCCATGTTCAACTACCGGCCCCCGGCTCCACGTCCCGGCTCCTCGCCCTGATTTTGTTTTTTGAGGAAGGGGTACTGCCATGGTTTAGGTTTCTTTCATGTTTTATTTTGTTAACCTCTGTGTCTTTTTTAGTGTTTCTTCCTGTTTCCTGATTACCTGCCCTTTCCTCATGTGTCTCACCTGTGTGTCATTAGTATGTAACCTTCCCTTTTTATGCACTCATGGTGATTCTTACTGCCTAGAACTGATTACTGATGCAAACCACCAGCTGGGGTTTAGCTAGAAACACTAAGCATGATTTATTTTTCCAATTACTTACAAATTACTTATAATTGTATAAAGATATATCCAAAACCAGATACATTTCTAACAAACTGGCAAACCAAATTATGGCCTCATTATGCTCATTCTGATTAGATAATCTACCAGAAAACGCCAAATGTATAAATCATGTTCATTGTATCTTTAAGAATTACTCAATTTTAACTCTACTTTTGTTCAGAAAAGGTCAATCATGAATTCAACATTATGACCCATTTTAATTAAAACATGACATATGGTCACTGTAAGTTGTGTGATTTACCGATTCAAGTCCAGTACAGTAATTAGCAGTCAAAGTGTGCTTTTATAAGCTTATACGTAAACTTGTGAAGTTAATTTCTTCTTAAATTAAATTATACATCTAATGCAAAGATAAGGAAGTTTATTTTTTCCCCAAAGCCTTTTTCACACCAATCAGCCCTGCAGCAGTGATTACTTTATCACCATAATTAATTATTCGAGGACGGCGATGTGAAGCGGCACTGCGGTTTCACTTAATGTGTTAAACCAGGGGAATTAAACTGAATGTCCAATCTATAGGTATGGCCCATTCTTTGAATACAATTGTATGCTTACACTTGAAGACAATAATTACAAAATAACCTGAGGTCCTTAAAGAAGATTAATTAGCACAGTAATCAATCAGATGAAAGATAAACTGTAAACCCATTTCTGTTTAAGATGTCGACTACTTCAAGTCAACTTTAAATAATGTATATTATTATTATAAGAATTACTCAATTACTCTGAGGACCGCGCTCCTCAGAGATCGAGCGCAGTCCCCACGCTCGACCTAGACCTAGAATCTGGAACAGTCTTCCCGAAGGTGTGAGACAGGCTCCTTCTTTAGCGATGTTCAAGTCCAGGCTGAAAACGGTTCTTTTCAGCCGTGCCTACGACTGATCATCAAGAAATCGGATCATAAATTTATTTTTGATGTATATATTTATTCATTTTCTTAAACTGTCTTTTGTATTTGTTTTTACAGTGTGTTTTTAAATTGTTTTTAAATTGCTTTTAAATGTTGCCGATGTGAAGCACTTTGGGTTGCATTCTGTATGAACTGTGCTATAGAAATAAACATTGATTGATTGTACAGCTTCCTTTTGTCAGAAATATCAATCAATCATGTACATTAAGTCCTTTTCAACAGTAACATTTTTTACAGTCCCTTCCATGAGCATAACGACGGGTCTAACCAGTTCTTTCACTTTAAACCATGGACGTTCACGTATTCCTGATTTGTTCAACAGTGATGTGCTTCAATTCATCAATATAGAATAATAATGTAAATAGAAACGACATACTAACAACCTTCTATTGAATACTGAATTGACAAGGGGTTACCAAGACAAGTTATTGAGGTGAATTACAAATAAACTTCTCAGTGATGCAAAAAGCCCCTCCCTTTACCATCAGACAGCTCCGGCCTGGATGTGTCTGTAGGAGGTCAGGGCCAGACGGGCACTTGTGGGGGAATAGAAATAGAGAGAGCAGCTGAATCAGCAAAAAGCTAATAGAAAACAATCCTAAGCCCAGAAAAGACTACTGACAATGCAACAATCGCTCTCAGTTCAATGCAGCCAACTGAAACGGGGCCGAATACTAAAAAGGACCAGGTTTCATGCTTGTATTTCTGTGTATTTGTAATTTAAACACATTCAAACCATGAGACTGCACTCAATATGTATGACTGAACCAGCAAAACAGGATGTGAAAGTGAAAGAAATTTCGGGTGAGAGAGATCTCTTTATGTCCTTGAGCAAAACACTTATTATCATCTTAACCAAAAGATGCTGAGATCCTGTTATAGAAATCTTTTAGTAAAGCAATCTGAATTAACATAAAAAAGCTATAAGTGTGAGTTATTAACTAATAGTCAACTCTGGATTCAAATACAGCACTATGGTCTGTTGGCAGCAGGTCAGCTGATAGATATGAGACGTGCTGCAATATGTCTTTGATATGTATATCAGCGTACAGAGGAGCCTTGAGCGACACATATCAATACTGACTTCATTTATGTAATATCTAGATTAGATATGTCTTTGTTTACTCTGGTCTATTTAATGTCCAATCCTTTCCTCGTTTATGGCAGTTGGTTTCAGACGGCTGCCAGGTGGTATCGGTTCTGTTAAACATTGTATGTGTGCACATTAACTAATGAATAAACTCACACTTTCCACAACAGAATTTCCACAACAATCCGAAATTGGCTTCTCATCTTTTATTTAGATTTAATTAGTACAGTGTTTTTCATCCAGTGTGACACGTTAGTGTGCCTTGATGTTGTTTTTGTGCCATTGGAAATGATTGATTATCACGAATTGGTCGAAATAATGGGAGAAGATTAGAAAGACTTTTTGCACTTGTTTGATTTTCTATATCAAACACTTACAATGTGGATTAGTATATGCATTTTCATACTGCAGACCTGGTATTTA